CGTGATGTATCTAGTTTATTGTCGTCGTTCCTCTGTATTGACCCTAATGTTTGGTCGTCATTTCTCTCCTTCAAAATATCATCAATCTTTCCTAACTTATTCCTAGCCCCTTGTGTATACAATATGCTTAGTGATAATTTTTCTGAGCATTTTCTTCAACCTTTCCTTCCTTATTCCTAGCCCCACCTTGTGCTTACAAAATTGGTCCTAATGCTTAGTGATAATTTTTCTCTAACCATTTTCATCAATCTTTCCTACCTTATGTGTTAAATATTAGTCTTGATGCTTAGCGGTCACTTTAGTCTGTCCATTGATTGAAGAAGGAACAAATCTTGTCAACGCGACGCGAGTTTTCGCGGACAAATGACATAGAGTAACAACTGAATATGTCTAAAAGAAGAAAAAATAAAATCTATCAAAGTCTACAAATCTATTCTCAAACCGGAAGAATCCCTCATCGCAGAAAACTGATAAAATGAATCGACAAATTAAAAACTGAACTAAAAGAAACACGTGATCTGAAAGAAACACGTGATCCAATTTACGTCATTTCTTTGATTTGCTTAAAGAAATAAATAAAAAAAATATCGACTTCAATCTCATGTAAAGACGCTTTTCCAGTAAATGTCGGATATATTCGAAGAATGTCTGATAACGAAGAGATCGTTGGACAACAATTACCAGTAGTTTGACATTTCTCGCCTTGTCCACTTCTTTTCATAATTACGCTACTGACTTATAAAATCGCCCCCATTTCAAAATACTTCCTGATCGCGATAATTGCTACACAGAAAATTCCGTTTTATATTAATCTGTCCCTTGCTTTCAACCATAACATAAAGTATGTAAGCGTGACTGTCATAAATTTCAAATGAAATAAATCAAAGTTACGAAATATATTTTATGGCCCGGATGATAAAAACTTTGAAGTGATTTGAAAGGATTTTCACTTTAAATTTTTTCAATTTATCGAGAGAGAGTGGTGATTATGCTCTTCATTTACATGCATCGCTGCCTTCCATCAGTGAAATGTAAATCTTGGTGATATACACAGGACTTAATTTCATTCTGGATTTAATGTTTTGTTGACGTCTTGTTGATCTATGTGATGTCAGCGTTTGTACATCAGATAACAGAACTATACTAAGCGTTCACATCACTCTGATTTTAACTTTTCTTATATATGTATATATATAATGAAAATGTCAATAGCTCAGTATCCGGTTCAATATATACATGAAAGCGCTCATGCTTTACACTTAAATGCACATCGTGTTTCTGATTATTATTCTCATATATTTTTTCAAAGGAAATCAATAATATTGAACTCAATTTCAAAACTATCCGGTTGGGATGACTTGATACAGTCAATGTGTACTAAAATCATCTCATTTATGAAAATTGCGAAAAAAATATAGGCTCTCAGAACCATTGACGCGTGTTAGAGGGACGAAACAGCTGTATGATTTAGCATCACTGACGAGTTCTAGAAAGACGAAACAGCTGTATGATTTAGCATCACTGACGAGTTCTAGAAGGACGGACAGCTGTATGATGCAGCATCACTGGCGAGTTCTAGAGGGACGAAACAGCTGTATGATGCAGCATCTCTGACGGGTCCTAGAAAGACGAAACAGCTGTATCTTGTAGTGTGATTCATTAAAATGTGCAATTAACGTAAGTGCATGTATTTTTTACCAAGTTTGCTTTTGAAATAACATTAAATACAATATGACGATCGTTCCAAGGATGTAGATGGATATACAATGGTGTCTGTGAAGTACAGATTTTACCTGAAGAGTAATTATACATAGGTTCTACCTGCATGCTACCCATCCCTCCTTACTTAATGCATCATTATTCCGTTGAGAACGTTAATACTTTTAAAGCACGTGCCTAACCATTACAAGGCTTGATAGTATAAGAGCTTTCATATCCTGTAAATTTTGTTTAAGTCATAATCCATTAACGTCTTCATCACCACGTATACATAACACATTATTAAAAATGTCACATTCGAAATCTAGTTTCGGATCAAAAATAAAAAAAAAAGTATTTTCACATAAACGGTTGTGTTTAATACATGCCAATTGTTGTAAAGTCTTGAGAGAAATTCAGAAAAAAAATGATGATGTCTTCTGATTCCCCCCCCCCCCACACACACACACATTTCCCTATGGTTTTATGAAGTCATGCCATTGATAACGTCACTGAAGAGTAAGAGTTGACATTCCATAAAGAAGACGCTATTTGGTTGCTTCATTGTAACTCCACTCAAGCAGGGGCGAAGGAAATAGGTGTGGTAGACCTTAATTCAAGATGATATCAATGTACACAAGCTTTAAAGGCAGGGTGACGTAATCAACTGTCTTATTATAAGCATAACGCATAGAACTTTTTTTTCTCTTAAACAAAATAATATACAGAATATTGATTAAGTAGTTAATTATGCAAAGGTAAACAACTTTATCGCTACATTCATCAATTTTTTAATTATAGATCGATCATCTGGAAAACAATTACACGTGTTTACTAACACGTGACAATACACATTACACTTCAAATGCAGCCATGCATAGTAAACAGTTCGACAATACCAAATTATCACAAAGCAGATATGTTGAAATATGCTGCATTTAAACCACAGATCACAAAAAATACATAACCTTTATATGTACAGCGTATAACATGATTAAACGCTCCTATTCATCATGGAAAGTTTTATATTGATGTCATCCACGCACTAACAAGCATTTTCAAGTCAACAACAGAAACTGAAGGAATCTCATTAACGTGGAATTTACAATTATTTTATAAATCTAGATAAAATGGTCACTCTTTTCATGGTCTCGCACAAATTCAATATTTTCTCTCACATAAACACATTATTTTCTTACACAAACTTCTTGATTCTTTATTAAACGAATTGCTTTCAGACACGTACAAAGTTGTACTTAAACTGTTTTATTATACAGATAAAAGCCATCAGTTGATGAGAGTGTAAGAGTTGTGTATTGAGAGGTTATAAATTTTCACATTGAGAGAGGTAACCTGTATATCACAACATACTCTACTGATGGTTCATGTATACCAAAATCTCAGTTTATTTCTGTATTTACGAACATATTTGCCTTTTCATAGGTATTAATATTGGACATAAACACAGTTAAAATAACATTTTGTTACATATATTAAAGATGCAAAGGACAAAATGACAATGGTGTTGTCGACTAAAGTCATCCCCAATACTCCAGGGGTTATGATCACTTTCGTTCCTCAATACTCAGGGAGTTACGGTCACTTTCGCTCATTCTCAATATTCCAGGGGTTACGATCACTTTTGCTCTCTTCAATTTTTTGATCAGTGATTGGTATCTCGATGAGAAACAAAAATAAAATGTTTTAGGAAATAGAAAATTAACCGGGTGTATGTTTCTTTCTTTCAGGGATGATAGCAAGAGTACACCTAATTTAAAAAAAAATGCATTAACATACACTATAATCATCAAACATATGCATGTTTGGATATAGAAAGTTATACCGACTTATCAAACCTGCACTATACTTAGTACTAATTAAGGAACCAGGACTAGCATTAATATGTGTATATATATACACATGTTACTAATTACTAGTTACTAATTTATCGAGGAAATATTGAAAATATTGAAAACTGTTCTGTCTTATACCTTACAATTCTGAGAAATGTCAAAATGACCTGCACAATAATCATACAACGTATTGGTTATATAAACAGTTTTACATAAATCGACCTGTTAAGACGTTTCTATATGGGAAGCGACATAACTCTATATGACAACATTGCATTTTCAGTTAGTTGTCAGAGCATTAAACGTTGAAATAATTAAAGAAAAGTGCATATAGACATAATTTTTAGGAATTATCATAACAATAGTAAGTGTTATGTAACAACATATATTTGCACTAAACGCTCGAAACATGAAGGGATAAACTAAGATAATCACTAAAACAGGTGTGATTTAGCTCAGCAGCTGAAATTGTTAATATTCATAGAAAAGTAAGTTAAGGCCAACATTATCTCACTTGAAAAATATTCACTTGGCGATGGTGTAAAAATAATGAAAGATTGTGAAAAAACAAACAATGAACAATGAAGACATAAATAAAAAAAAATGAAAAAAAAGGTTAAATCTGAAACCGATAAAAATTCCATGACACTGAAGCCTTACTCAGGTTAAAGTATTTTTCTATGGAAGAATATACATAAAGATGAAGATATTAAAATGAAAAGCCAGTTGCACATTTACACCCTAAGAGTCAATCTCTAAGGGTCCTTGTGTTTACATAGACAGCAAATAAACATAACAATGAGTATACCGACATGTCAACAACATCTTCCTTCTGACTTAAATTCGATACAACAAAACATGAACAAAAAGAAAAACATTTCATGGAGACCCGTGGAAAATTGCAAGAAAGAACTTTGACCATGTTCTCCAGAAGGATAAGCGTCTTTTTCTTCAGCGACAATACTTACTACTTGGTCGATCCAAGTAAGTGATGTCGGGTTTCCAAATGACCAAAACGAGAAAAAGGTTAACAACAATGAAAGCACCAGGGGTTATAAAAGCATCGATCACGCCCATTTCCATACCACACAAGGAAATAGACCATTGTCTTTTGCAAAATGGATTTGATTCTGCCTCTATTTGTGATCTTAACCTTACTTCAAATTAGTGTCCACGGTGTTTTATAAATAACAGAATGCTTTGTCATATAACGATAACAAAATTAATGTACTTTATTTCATTACACTTGCAAAATTAATCCTTTTACCTTAAGATATTTTGTCTTTACACAAATCATGCCACACCAATATTCTCTGTTACATAAAGCATACATGACAATAAATTGTGATTGATATTTGTTTATCAGGTCCTTTGCTTGACTTGTGAATTTACAGTTTTCTTTCTTTTAAAAGCAAAATGAAGTCCGTCGTCTTTCCTTCCTCAGAACATTCATGCCTTTCTTGTGAATGGTTTTGCTTTCCCTGCATGACCTTTGTTATGCAAGTCAGTTTCCAAGAATCCCTATAAAATAAAAATTGTGAAAAAATGAGTAAAGCTGAAATGTTTGACATCTTTCAAAAAATATGAAACTTTTTTCAGCAAATTATCGAAGATAATGATGTTCGTTGTTATTTAGCTTTGAAGGGGAGAAAACGGTGGGATGATGTTTCATTTCATATGATTGTTTGATATTGTATTACACTTGCCTTTACTGCTGCTCCTACACAATTCAGATCCAACAAAAACGTGTCATGTCCAAAAAGTGAATCCAACTCATAAAATGTCACTGCTTGATTCCCTGTACAACAATAAAAATTCAAACATTATAAACTGTTAAACACCTTAACACATGCAGTTATTGTGCATATAACCCTTCATTAAACAACAATAAAAGCGTGATATTATAAAATTGTTTTATAAATCAAGGAAAGGAGAAGGAAAATGTCAAAAATGACTTGTCTTCTTACTGCGATCAGGACACACGGAGAATAGTCTTTTCTCTATTACCATTCATTCGTTAAGTATCGTCATTCATTTATCATTCAGTTTGATAAAAGGAATTGTATAAAATACAAACCGGATTCTTTTAATATCCGTGCCAGTTGACGCTGTTGCCATATGGGAAAGAGAATGTCTGTCTGAACACCTAGAACCATCGTAGGGCATTTAACGGTGGAGAGACCAGCGTGAAGGGAGGGATATCCCTCTGACATGTCAAACAGATCCATGGCCTAGAACACATAACATAAACACGTGTTTAATCACATGGAGGGGACATGACATATAAAACAGATCCATAGTCTACGACACAGAATATAAACACGTGTTTAATCACATGGAGGGGACATGACAGATCATAGTCGACGTCACACAATATAGACAATAGTAGCTTTTTCTTTATGAAATACCTCTTTCATCTTATCCCGGATATGTAGAAATAATTAATATTTTCATACACGTACAGAATAGTTCGGTATTGAAAAATACATTGTTTGTGTATATCTATATACTAAACCTACCTTTGAAATGTAGAGAAGAGAGTTTGGGTCATACTTGGTAGAGAAGCTCTCGCCTTGGTGTTCCAAGTAACTCTCGATAAGAAAAGAAGGACACAGGGACGGGCAGACGTTTTCATCGATCTTTCCCCGCCCGAACCTCTGATCCCACTCCGGACCACTTCTGTAGGTCAAGGTTGCAATCTCCCTACCAGAAGGAAGTGATTTTATGTCAACAGCATGTATCTAGTACGTGGCAACTGTTCTTTGGCCTTGTGATATTTATTATCACTAAAGTCAAAACTATCCAGTCATTCTAAAGGTTTCGACTTATAAAAAACTAGGTAAAGGCCACGAGAAAGAAAAGTGAGTTGATATTTAGATATCAAAACATATGTTCCAATGCTTATCGACATCAAGAAAAAGTACGATGGATTTGAGTAGCCAGCAGTAAGTGAAGGAATTTTTAAAAAATCTCCAAGATTCAAATGTGCTTTTGACTAAATAAAGCTTGTGTCGTAATATTTTTTTTTACATTTCGTTTTGTTTTTTATCTTATTGTTTGTAAATGATAACAATTGCTTAGATTCTAACAAATAATCAGTCGCCCAATCCATGCCCTTATGTAGATATATCTATAAAAAAAGAACAAAGCGTGTCTCTTACCTTGCTAGTTTCATGCCAATCTTCGGGAATGTTCCATTGTAATAATACCCTTTGTTCCAGTTCGGGTCACTCATTATTGTCTTTCTCTGCAGGTAACGCATGGATATGGATGTAGGATGGGACTGAGCACAGGAGGATATGGACACCACCCTACAAACAGTACGGTAACAAAGGTTAGGTAAATTTTATTTATGTACTTAGATTGCATGGTATAGTAATAATGACATATTAACATTGATGAATATCTTCCTTGATTATAATCTACATTCATGAAACCTTACCGTGACATTTCCTCTATAAGCTACCTGCATACCAATAATACGTCTTAATTCATTCGAGAAGTGAAACTGTGTAAAATATGTACATGTGCTTGAAGTTCTTTTAAAAATTATCTGACATGTAGAAATTACAAAATTCATTTAACTTTTAATTTGTATTAAATGTTGCTAATCACTTGTCTTTTGTAAAATCTTTATTTAGTTGTTAAATTGACCTTCATGACCAAGCAAATGACATTCGTATAGCGGGTAAATAGGACTTTTCATGACCTTCTATAGTGGAACTGCACGAGTACTAGATACAAGGGACGACTGCACAACGTTTCGTTAAAATCAGTTTAGCTAGTGTTTTATTTAAGTTGTCTCCCCTCCTACAGGTTTGGATTAGTATAAATGATGGATTTAATGCTATTATTACATCGCATTGTTTAAGGATGCCAAAGTAAGGTATTGTTAATACAAAGTCTCACTTAAATGTTGTGAACTGGGTAGTTGATAACATGAAAACGTATCTGGTCATATTAGGCTTCAGAAAACCGGTTTAAGATGAATGAAACTATTATTATTTATAGATCGGATAGTTGATGTTGATGTCATGGCAACAGCAGCGTAATATTAGGAGAGTACTGTGACAAAAGGGTCTTGATAATCAATATTCTCATTCTAAATCCTCGTCACATAAATCAATCCGAAAATTGTGTATTGTTTTACATTATACTTTAAAAGAAGATGGAAACGAAACGATAAACAACAAATATGGTGATGCAGGATAGATAACTCCCAACGTGTTACTTTAGTAAAATAGCAAATACAGAGAAACAAAAACGACGTGGCGTTGTACAATTATAAAGTGCATTTTCTCTAAAATATCTAAAGGAGAAGTATCATTACAGTGATCTCATTATTAGTTTTTGCTCCTCGACTGAGTTTATATACTTGACTAGATACTTAATCCTAGAAATCCCACATGGAACTATATCGTAACTACATGTATTTACCTTTCAACTCGATGAGGGTACAGTGATGCTGACGTTAAGGAACACATGCCTCCTAATGAAGATCCAACACTGCTGTAGATCTAGAACAGACATAGGTATCAGAATTGGTCACCAATGTAAAGCAATAGATAATGTATCGTAATATACCATTATATCTACAGTAAAACGGACAGTCAGTTAAAAGTTTATTATCTTTTGTATTTCCGTATTTTAACCTGTTTGTGTATATCTATCTCTCAGTATATGATTTAAGCCTACCTTCTCAATTCCAAGGTGATCAAGCAGCAAAAACTGGGCATTGACCATGTCGTCTATACTGATCACAGGGAAGGTGGTGGCATATTGCTGCAACAAAAACCATCCTTTTGAATTCTAGACATTTTTGTGAAAAAGGTTTTGATTATACCAGCTTAGTCGTAGACTTTAAGAAATTTTACTTTGACACCAAATCGACTCAACCATCGAAAAGAGTAACAAGAAATATGAAAATGTGTATAGTTACCTTTCCAGTGAGAGGGTTGACAGAAGATGGACCCCTAAAATGTTAGATAGGATAAGTTATAATACATCATTAGGGTGAAATATGTATGTTCTACAAATTTTATATGATATGATTGGATGTTTCATGAATACCGGTATGTGAAACTGTTTTAACTAGTTTGATATATTTCTGTGGGAAGCATGAAATGAAAAATACAAAAAAAAAAAAAAAAAAAAAAGTCAAAAGCGCCCACTCATGAGTTGTTGATCATGAAACCAATATATATATAACATTTCGTGTGGAAGGATTGGGCCCTTATCTGATAGGTAGGTCTTCTACGTGTATCTCTAAGTAATATTTATAAATGTACTAGGAATGCTGTATTGTAACACCTCATTCTGTCAGAGCTGAAATAATGTCACAAATTACCACATATTTATCTATTTTCCATCATACTAAAACCATATTGTGAGAGGAAAACTATGTAATATCAAATGCTGTTTGTCACGTTAGTAATATACCAACATAAACATATATTTCATTGTCTAAAATATTGTAAGTTTCAGTTGTAATCATTACGGATACAAAACCTAAGTAAAAACGCAATCCTATAGAAATAATTGTTTTAGTCGTTTGTACCAGGGGAAATCATATTTACATTATAAAGGTCTATTGAGTCGTGTGTACTGGGGAGAAGTCATTTTTTACGTTATAATGGTTTAATGAGTTACTTGTACTGGGGAGACATCATTTTTACATTATAAAGTTTTAATGAGTAACTTGTACGAGGAGAAATCATATTTACATTTAAAAGGTCTATTGAGTTACTTGCAATAGGGAGAGGAATTGGTAGAGACTTCTAGTTTGTTCTTTTGGAGGTTTATTTATTTTTTTATTATTTGTTTTTTTCTTGTTTTTCATATTTATAATTGTACTGGTATTTTGCAAACGTTGGAAATAAAAGAATTATTAAACTAAATCAGGGAAATTTGTTAACGAAATATAGAGAGACCAACTGAATGTCTCAATCTACGTAAGCTTTCATCACTTTGATCCTTAAGGATGTTAATAAAACAATAAATAAACAACACTTACGTCGATCCGTAACAACTGCCTATATTGTTCATACAGATAACAAAGTATTTATCTGTATCTACAGCACATCCAGATCCCACAAATTTCTCCCACCAACCAGGCAACATGTTATCCTGTAAAGACAATCGTTAAGTTCACTTACAAAGTTAATGTGTTTAATGCTAGTGTGATTTTCAGAATATCGTGCACATTTGATTAATATAAATTCTAAAAACCAACCAAAATGCTGAATCTATATAAAATTCCCGCTAACAAAAATACAAGACAAAAACTTGATAGTGATAAAACGTACTACAAGATAAAACCTATAATGAAAACACAATACGGGTAAAAGACGTTAATAATAACGATATGCACAAAAGAAAAGGAAAAATGGATTGTGGTTAAACATCAGAATGATCAAATCGAGAACGTTTAGAGTGTGCCAAACCAAATCATATTTGATATGAAATGGTACCTAAAAATTCTGAAGTTGTACATCATTTATTACGATACATGATGGACGCATGCTTGCTAGCCTCTTTGTCCATTTCAATATTTAACAATTCACAAAAAATCATTGTGATAATATTACTTCTGGTGCTATTCCGTGACTTCAGTAAACGCTAACATTTTAAATTAATTTTATAATGTTCATCAAATAAAACTTTGAACTGTCTGACTGTAGTAGCATTGCTAGAGCAAGCTGATCCACAAATTTACAGTTCGTTGACTAAAGAAATGTTTCCTAATGTCTAATCGCGAATGTTTTTATACAGTATTTGAAAATGCCCTCTTGTTGTGGTTGTGGTACACAAATAAATTTTCAGTAGCTCTCTTATCATATATATTGTTCATAACTTTTAAAAGTGTTTATCATGTCTCCTCTCATCCTTCGATGTTCCAGAGTCGTAAGATCCTGTCTTTCCAGACATTCTTTATAAGATAAGTTCTTGAACCCAGGTATCAACATTGTAGCACTCCTTTGGACGTTTTCAATAATATCAATGTCCTTGGCATGGTGTAGATTCCATACGTTTGTCACGTATTCAAGCTTGGGAAAGAATTTTCACTGACCAGGACGAACCTATGATATCGTATTTACAGCATGGTTTGCTGTAGGTGTTAGCTTTTTTACATGGATTCTAGCATTTGGGGTCATAATTCATGCATGATTAGTTTGAAGAAGTGATATTTTTACTATATGGTTATCTGTATAGGAATCAATTTGATCAAAATCTCTGCAAATATACTGGTGTATTACTTTGTACGGATATATGTACACAACATTATACCAGAATTAATACTATCCTTTTCCCTTGCATTGCATAAAAGTACTTAAATGACACTGCAACTGAGCCACAATTTCCGTTACAAGCTTACGGGGATAGAATTCAGGACAATATATAAGTATCATTGGAAGACGCTGAACTACTCAAACACTTATTGAAAAGGGTTATTTTCATACGAATTTGCCATGATAACTGAAATCGTGGCAACATTGCTTTATTGAAGATGGACCTACGACAAGGAAGCGACTGTCTCTGTTTAGAACTACCATAACTAAGAAAGTGACTTCTAATCTGTATTTAGGGCAGCTGATCACGTTGCAGCGTTTATGTAAACTGGAAAGGTCACAGTATACACGGTACTGCTTATCTCACCATCACGCTTGACACTGTTGTATAGTGTGGGTCAAGAAAAGGGTCAAGGTACAGAGGGACAAATCAATATATATATAGCTCGGCAGGCGTGTCATTAGGGCTAGCCAGGCCCCCTACTTTAGTATGAAGTGAATCCAGAATATGTGTACTTAAACATGAACCAAATTTAGTAACATGGTAAAATGCGACAGTCTTATATTAACTTGGTTCAATGCCTTCAGTCTTGTTATGATTTAGATCGCATGCCGTTCAACAACCACAGTCTCGTCACGGTATTAACATGCTTCAATGACCACAGTCTCGTCACGGTATTAACATGCTTCAATGACCACAGTCTCGTCACGGTATTAACATGCTTCAATGACCACAGTCTCGTCACGGTATTAACATGCTTCAATGACCACAATCTCGTCACGGTTTTAACATGCTTAAATGACCAGTCTCGTCACGGTTATAACATGCTTAAACGACCACAGTCTCGTCATGGTTCAGTTACTTGTAAAAATATTTTACACTACCGATTAGCTGTTCCTACATAGTGAGAGCAAATTATATTGGTAACCACAACGTCATCTTCGTTTCTTCAGCAAAAATCAAAAGTGTCTTTGTTGACATGAATGATAATTTTATTGTGTGACGTTATCTCTCTGTTGTTTACATACACTAAATATTTAATCTGAAATATTTCCCTTGTCCAGGAACTGTCACGACTGCGGTCACTCAGACAGGTTTATATAACACAATGTCAGTATATAGAACTTGGTTACAAAGTCCATCTAGGTCCGATCAAGACAAACGTAATCCGGGTTCTACTGGGTACATTGTTTCGTAACGGTATCTACAGACCGCAGATAAAAGAGCAAACATAATGCCAAGTAATTGTTTCGTTGACAGAAATAGTTTGGTCTCTAGCTAGTTTGTTGATAAGGAAGCGATCACGAAGTAAAACAATATTTTCATTACAACTTGGGTAAGATTTCAATTGATTTACATATTCGTTATCATTAATGGTTTCGAGCTCATACTTTCCACCAAACATTTTAAGTGAAATACCTAAATTTAGCAGTACTAATATATGTATTTTCAAAGTAAACACAAAAACAAATGTCACGAGTAATATATTAAGTTTTTGGTTTTAGATTACATATCAAGATAACATCTGCTTTCTCCGTTATGCCAGCTGCCGACTATGTTTATATGTCTAACCAAATAGTTTTTGTCTTTTTCTGTGTCTTTTAAGGAAGGACCACCAGAGTGTTTTAAAGTCTTGTGTCCCGCTTTGTCTATTTGTTGGAGTATAACCCCGCCGTACCTGATGACTCTTGGCGTGCGAGCTAGCGGACAGTCCGGCATTGATGACCACCACGTTACTTCGGTCCTCGTTCAGCTTTCCCCATGTTTCATAGGCGATTGTGATTTCGGGTAGGACCGCCTTGTTGTATTTGACAGTGAAGGGGGAGTCACTTGTAAAAGTCTTGTAACCAGAGGAAATCTTATCATAGTCTGGTTCTGGACCGGTCATCTTGCTGCAAGGATAAAACAAAGGATTATACAAAAGATAGTGATTATCCCCTACCTAATAAAAGATTAAATAAATGACGAAAAAAAAATGTATGCGACAATTTCCTAATAGGACTCTTAAGGCTTAAGGGAGGGGAGCGATGGTAAGGATAATAAATGTGAAAAAGGACGGAAAGAAAGACAGAAAGAACTCGTATGTCAATACTTTTAGCAAGCGATATTGTTGAATTATATCTAAATGACGTCATTCTGAATGGTATAATTATCTACAAGAAATTAAACGTGTTATATTCAAATAAGCAATGCATATCTGTCATACATGGCGACGGTCTTGGAATATTTTGCTAAGACGGACAGCGTCGTTTCGCTTTGTACAAATACAAGAACAGCAATTATTGCCATTTTATTCATTAAATATATTTTGACAATTTCGCAAGTCTGGGCGGAATCTAAAGTGCGAAACTTTTCGTGAAGTAGATGGGTGTAATCGTCAGTGAAGTGCATGGTCATAGTACTATGATACCGAAATCACCTGATTTCGACAAGTATGAATGGAAAGATACCGTGGGACATCCTAGACACTGACGTACACGCAGTCTACACATGTGACCGATAAAACAAACACATGACCTATCACTTTTGTAGTACTTTTAAAAGTGCGACAAGGATGATGTCACGAAGCAATGTGTGTCAAATCATCCGATTTAGAGCAAGAAATGAAAGATGACATAAGACAATAAAATGACACAAGATCTCATGATGGCGAGACTAAGTAAATCAATGTCTCGTACACGAGACGAGATAATCGCACGCGCTACCTAGTGCTTAGGGATTTCATGTTTGGTACCTTTACTAGATATTTTGCGTCACAATGTTAAGATGACGTCATATTCATTTGTCTTTCAGAGGCATAATTTCGAATCTAAGAATTAGCGAATGGAACTGGTGGAGAAATTTCTAAGACTTTTTGACAACAAATACTTAACGAGAAAACAATATTTATCTTAGTTTCGGACTGACATCATGTAAAGTCCAATGCTCGACCTCAAATGAGATTCTGTTACAGAAAGTCAACCCATGACTGAGATAAATCGATCTGGCACACACACACAGGTAACATATTCTATAGCACTGCGTTCCAGATATACAACCCGGTACAACAACATTTACACACAGGTTCAAACCGACATCACTATCAAACTCTCGAGACGGTTTGTTGAGTTCTTTGACCTGACAATTCCCAAGGAATATATTCATGTCAACGTCTTTTATCAACCTTATCATGATAATATTAATCATTAGGGTGTGAGACTGTAACGTTACATATTGTGTTCTAGGTCTATCGGTAACTAGCTGACGTAATACATGTGACTCGACAGTAAAGTTGTAGTGACCCAATTAAGGCGAACCTTCCCGAAAACAACTCTTACGTGGGTAGCGAAAAAACGATTACAGAACGTGACCATATTTTTTAATCCACAACTATTTCCAGCTTCTTCGTTCTCTGTGAAATCTTTATTCCATATACTACAACCGACAATATGAGTGATACAATCCCTCTTTCTTCCAATGTCTAGTATCCCGTTTTAAGTGGAGAATTTTCTAGTTGTATTTTAAAAAAAATGATTTGGTCTTGTTTCCCACTTCTGAAATTTAGTTCACATCGAGATTGTGTTCCCTGTAATGTTATCTTCGTCACATCTACATCATAAACAATATTCCCCCTGTAACATGAAACATAGGTCCTGATGCCAATCATATTAGTCCCGTTATCAGGCTTATTTTCCGATCAAATTTAATCTTGTGGTTTTGCTATTTCATTTGATTTCAAACATTTTAATGATAGAAGTTTCAAAAACTGGGTTAAGGCTGTTAATCACATTCTGTCAAGTTTTCCTGGTCGTCATGTATTTCTATGCCTCGCCACACGATTTTTTTAAATGACCATGGAATAATGTGTTAAGTCTAGTGTTCTGTCTCGATTCTATGCTGACTAGCATGTAATAGTTAGTGAACGTCATCTTGCGCAGAAGCGCCATTATCGGATTTGTCAGGAAATGATTTTTGACAATCAATAATCAATATCTATAGACTATCGATGATCCCATCATCAAGACTTTTTCTGGGACTGGGCGGGATAGGTCTGTAAAATACCTGGTAAACGATTGAGGAAATAGTTAAATTTATAAATTACAACTAAACGAAACTGAAACGATGATGATCCTAGAATTTGTCCAAGGATGGAGCCAATTTTTATTGGTAGTTAAGAAATTTACACATTGGTTAGTCTCATCGGAGACCATTCCATTTATGCTTGTTGAAGATAGAAATTTTATTTTAAAATTACCAAACCGGAAGTGACGTCTCGTCAGGAAATAATTCTTTTAACCAGTTAAAGAGAACGTTTTTTTGACTGTCCCAATTTGAGAAAACATGTTTGATTGCTGTTAATTAAAGCTGAATTTGACGTTGCCATGGGTGATGATCAGACATAAAGAATGAAGCCATGATCGTACAATGAGAAACAAACAGCTACCGACATGTCAAATTAATCAAATTAATTTGAAACGTGGGATAAAGAAAGATTTACACGGAGACCTTAGAAAAGGGAGGGGGATATAAGACCAGGTTATCCGTAAGGGAAGGCGTCTTCTCCTTCGTCGACAACACCTGTCATGTGGTGACGTTTTTTTTTTTTTCTGAAGGACCCGGATGTCACTCTCTCTCTCTCTCTCTCTCTCTCTCTCTCTCTCTCTCTCTCTCTCTCTCTCTCTCTCTCTCTCTCTCTCTCTCTCTCGTTTTTTTTTCGTATATTATAATTGTATTTAAACATGTCGTCTTGTCTTGCTAATATGTATTATGTAAAATTTTATAGGAAAGGGCTTTATATAAGTTAGAAAACTTGTGCCCAGTCCTGCTTGTATACTTTGTACAAATAAAATATGTTTAAATCAAAACCTGTCATGTAAAATTTGATCAATCCACGTAATCGCATACAGTCAATAGTAATTGTGTTTTATCTTTTATGATCAGTGAAACATTTTATCAAATAACAAAACTGTATATGTTTATAGGAGAAATTACAAATTGACCTTTCATGCTTTGTTGGGTTATCTTTGTTTTATATATAAAGTTCTTCTGTTCTTCTTCGAGTTATAAAAACAATACCCTGTTTGGTATCGTCATCTTGTCTCCATGGTTAGCGTTTAGTACTTATTGAATCTATATAACCAAGACTTTGTGACGTATTTGTTTTACGGTATTTATCTTGCAATGATTACAAGTGTTGTGAAAAAAGATCTACATTTGTTTATTTTCATGTTTTTTTCTGTCTTTGTACATTAGAGAGACACTACAGCCTGATAATACATCAAGTTGATTGGTCTTGCCGCAAGAACGATCTATTTCGTCTGGATTTCGTTTCTAAGCAATGTTCCCGTTTTTCTCAATTCTAGCACACTTTGCCTATTATTAGCGTTAGAGTTACTCTAGTATCTTGTCTTTTTTAACTTCCAATCGTTGTTTTGACATGAGATATCGATTAATTTTCTTTGTTTGTGTTTCCTGTTGTGTATATACACATAATACTTAAAGCGCTTCACTATTTATACAAGGAATCAGAACTTTGACCTACAAACTTTGTCCAATAGAACTACCCGACCATTAACTGTCCAATAGAACTACCCGACCATTAACTGTCCAACAGAACTACCCGACCATTAACTGTCCAACAGAACTACCCGACCATTAACTGTCCAATAGAACTACCCGACCATTAACTGTCCAACAGAACTACCCGACCATTAACTGTCCAACAGAACTACCCGACCATTAACTGTCCAACAGAACTACCCGACCATTAACTGTCCAACAGAACTACCCGACCATTGACTGTCCAACAGAACTACCCGACCATTAACTGTCCAACAGAACTACCCGACCATCTGTCAACAGAACTACCCGACCATTAACTGTCCAACAGAACTACCCGACCATTGACTGTCCAACAGAACTACCCGACCATTAACTGTCCAACAGAACTACCCGACCATTAACTGTCCAACAGAACTACCCGACCATTAACTGTCCAACAGAACTACCCGACCATTGACTGTCCAATAGAACTACCCGACCATTAACTGTCCAATAGAACTACCCGACCATCAACTGTCCAATAGAACTACCCGACCATTGACTGTCCAATAGAACTACCCGTCACCTTCCCAAGTGAGAACATGGCTAACAAAAACGAGATCTTACATAGAATTTCTTAACCTTTCCCAAATAAATCTTAACATTGAGAATGAAATAAGTCATTGTTCTACATTGTTTGTAAGAATTCACGTGCACTTATTTGACTATATTATTGTATGCCGCTATTTGCACGTGTTGATTGAACAGAGAGTTAGAAAGAAAAAAGGGTTGAGCGCATTATTGCTACCTACTTTCTGGTGAGACAGGGAAATTCGGTGACCATTCCTTTAAAGACCTCCTCTGTTGGTGTGTCCACTTGAGGAAGATCACCAAAAACGTCATCTTCTAATATTCTTGGTCGACTGAGTTGATAGTTGACGTCTGTGGATTTAGACAGCGATGGTGACACCGCACGATGAAAATTATTTACTTGTTCACATAAAAGCCTTCTACGAGGTACCAAATTAACATGTTTCCTGTTTCCAGCACAAACAGCTAACGATTCTCGATGATGATTTCGAGATTTAGCAGACGACTGTTCCAAAGTTTGTAAATTTCTCCTCAGTCGGCAAAAACTTTTCTTCAGTTTGAGTGGTTTTGGACGAAGCAGTGAAGTATTCCCCGCCCCAGTCGAAGCTAGCACGGACATTTTCGATGTCAGTGTGTAAAACCTCTAATTGTGAATGAACAGTGGTACACGAGACAGATCACTGTTTATATGCTCTCGATCGTTCTCAAAATTCACCCCAAATCCAGGAACATAAACACGTGTTTCATGACGTAATCTTTCACAGTGGTTAATTTATCCGAAGCGAACTGTACTATCGCGAACTTCTTGATGACAAAGCAAATAAAACACCTTTACTTTAAACGGATGATTATATCAACTACATGTTCAGTAGATCAATATGTAAATTTACCGGTGTGACCGTTGAAAATTAAGTGTTTAAACAATTTCGCTTGTTTATATATTATTTCGATAGGTGTACGAACAAGATTTATTGACAATAACAACAAAGCCATGTGCTCTTCACATGGTCAGCTTGTGACGTGGACAATCGACCTCAACCTTTATCGTGCAGGGGCCGCACAATACGTGATACAGCAATCACATATTTCACTATATTCAATATCATGTTCAACTCTTGTGCTGTGACCCATCACTACATCCTTAATGCAATTATTCAATGTGATGGTTTCCTGAGACAAAGTTCAAGGGAAATCGGGACCTTAATATTCACTTATCTATATATTAACGTGGACATTCAGCATTAGAATCAGATCAAGGACATGGTTGCGTGTGCGCCTCTATTCTAATGAAGCTTACATTAGAAATATGGGACACGATTTTACTTAATACAACAGACTCAAAGGGTTTTTCCCCAAATTACATAAATAATGTCTACATGTGCACCGGTATTTTAGTTCGCAATGTCTGTCCTCCTCGATTTTAATCAATTTGTTGATATTAGTTAATTTTGTTTAATCATACCTTTATTAATTTTATACTACCCCAGTTCCAAAGATCTAACAGCACAGGCCTAAACAATAACTATGACAAAGCCATAACGTAGATGGTAAGCACAATTTTACATCTAATGAATTCCAGAGCTTTTCAATGGTTGGCCCGTCTTTCTGAAACAACAAAGAAAATACCGACAACAAAATCTTGATTCAAGCACAAATTCCATGAAACTAACGCAAAACTGAGATTCTTGAAAAACTACATGGGGAATAAGACCAGGGCCGTATTCATGAAAGCATTCTCATGCTCAAGCATAGATTTTGTGCTCAAGCAAACTTTTGAATAATTCGCCTAAATCATATAAAGTAATACAAATGTCAAATATAAACCTTGAATATAACTTTGACATGAAGTCCTTTCAAATTAAAACAAAATCTTTGGCAAAATCAGCCTTATTTATTGATTTTTAACTTAAACAAGACATAAGGCTTGAGCACAAAATTCATGCTTGAGCATGAGAACGGTTTCATGAATACGGGCCCAGGTGTTCCGGAATGTTAAGTTTCTTTTACATCATCGATGACACCTGCCATGTAAATCTTGGTGAAATAGTCTCTGGATTTAGAAAGAAAACACTTCTATTGACATATTACATGCGTATCATAACGGAGATAGCATATGCTATGCATAAATTCAGTACCAATTCGTCGCCCTAGAATCAAAATGTTCTAAAGACCCACAACTCTGTTTCGAGAAAATCAAAGTTGAATATTCAGGACATGAAATCATGTGTTGTTTTTAGAGCCATTGTTTTACCTTTACGTATATGCTCATTTTTAATCAAAAAATGATTAATTGTATCATTTGGATGTCTGAAAACAATTAAAACGTGGTAAAATAGACATTTCAAATTTGGAGATAGAACATTTAAGTTCTGATTTTTTTTCGAAATGTTTTGAAATCAAAATGTGCTTGGACATAGAACATAAATGTTAAGAGTTAAGTGGTTGAGTTTTTGAGACTGCACGGCGGATGCATGACCAAAACAGGACGAGTTTTTTTTTCTGGGAACCAATCGTCATTCTTTAATTGTTCGAGTGTCAGCCGTCTCAAACTTGACAATGTTTACATGATTTTGTCAAGTTTGATTGATTATAACGATTTCTCTATTATAGATGACGGACAGTTGTTTTCCTTTCACACACCTAAGTGTCGTAGTTTTAGTTAATTCAATATATACCACACAACACTCAGTTTTCTAAAATACAATTAATTAAACAAACCAATGATATTTGGCATGCAAATGCACCTACCTCCTCAGCATAGTTTTCTCTGCATCCATTGCACCATCATATACCACGTGACTCATATGGCCAATACCGATTGGTGGATGGATTTAGAACGTTTCTACTCTAAAGAAAAGTGCTTGGATGGATATAGAACAAAATTGCATTGCAAATATTTTAAAAATCAACGACAGTTGATAAACATGAATGATATAGGGAGATAGAACATTAAATTCCGAATCAAACGGTACCAATAAGTAATTTTTTTTCAAAAAGTGGACTTAGAACATTTTGATTCTAGGGCGACGAATTGGCATTCATGGGTGTATGAATGCTAATCAGGTATGGGCTAATTCAAGCATATTTGCACTTCCTTTGAATTTTTTTTATCCTGTTGACATTCATCATGTCTAGAATGCCAGCTAAACTACCATCAGGGCTTATAATCACCATTTTCAGTTTACATCTTATTTGAATGGAAAGCAACCTCAGCTTGCATACATTCATAACATTATCCCTACTTAAATTAAAAATGACAGTCTTCATAGTCTTATGCCTTGCGGAAACCTAGAAGAAACAGATTGAAAAAAATAAAGCGATATAGACAGGATGTGTTTATGTGCTAGGTAAGTAGTTCTCTCATTTAATCGTAAGTATTTCGTCAGTTATGTCATGGAAACAAATTTATAAATGTCGCGCTGAAAAAAAAGGCGTTAAACTCGAATTATTTGTTATTTGAGAAAGAGATGTAAATAATTGTTAATGATTCATAACTTGTCAGTCCTAGTAAAGGTTCCTTCGAGCTGACTTTAACAACCCGGGAAGACCTACTGACCACAGACAAAAATTGAAGTACATATTCAACAGATTGCTAGTTTGATTGAATGCTCCTCGCCATTTTGAGGAAATTTCTCAAACATCTAGGTCATGGGTGTCCGATCTTAGAAGTTCATTTCCTCACTACGGTTGAAATTAATCTGTTTTATGTTCTCCTTACTTTCCTGCGCTCGTTAGAACTCGTCGGCTTTTTCGAAGCGTAGCCAAGCGGACAGTAGAAAAACTATGACGGGCAATCCAGTCTATTAAACCTTCATTTCCTTATTTAGTTTAAGGTACATATGGGGCACCTGTGAAATGAAGTTCAATGGAGTCAGATATACATTAAAACCCATTCATAGCCGTGTATTTTTTCACAATTTAACTCGAAGTAGACAAACTAGCGGACATATCGCATTCTATTCAGCGCAAGCGATGCATTTTTTTTCGGAGGAACATTTTCCCTTTTTTCTCGTTGATCTGACCGTCCTTCCTTAACATTATAACTCCAGAGTAGATTTTATTGACAACGTTAATGGCGACGGAATTTTACTATCGGTTAAACATTGGGATTTACCTTTCACCTTTCCTTACATAACAAGACGACATAGTTGTAAAACATGAGACAAACTTATCTAAACCACAGATTTCATTGAAGTGCTCGTTCTAATTGAAATAGAGTCCATGTTTACTTTGAGATCTGTTATCTACAATGTGCCTTTATCACCTTACATTGAATACCTTCTCTAACAGACTGGTCCCTACAGGTGACAAGGAAACGATATCCTTGTTTGATCTTACTACATGTCGTAAGAGGCAAGTATTGGTGGGGCACCCCTGCAGTCAGGATTGGTTTTCCATCACAGGGCCAACTGAGAATCCATGATTACAAGAATACGGTCTTCTATATTCCACTTCATGATCACCCCCTTCCCCATCCACTCATTTTTACCTGTTTCTTTTCTTTGTACTCTGTTTCGTTCTCCATTCGTTCTCACCTGGCCTGGCTGTTGAAAGGACGTTAAAACCCATGACAACAAAATGACAACATGGTCAACCACCTTTTTTCGCTTACGTCCTTATGAACTGATACTCCAAATGCGAGAATCATTATCATTTTAAACATCTATCTATAACCATGAACCGCGCAGCTGTGTATGCGAAATGTAGCTTCATTCAAGAGCAAGATCGGCCTCGTATAGCAAAATACATCCAGATTGAGTGATGAATTTCCTGTAGATGAAGTCAATGGAAATGAATGCAACACTGTGTTTGTATGATATCTAAACTTTATAGCAATTTAAATGATTTTTCTTTCGATTTTTAACGCATATACCAGTTCAACTGGAACCCACGCGCGTGGGTCGTGATAATTCACCGAGTATTGACTCGGAAGTGTCGTTAGGTTATCTGCTGAAGTTCATGGGCTCCCTTAAGTGTTGATCAAACAAGGATTTCTGATCACAAACTTGTAATCGAACTTTCAACGGCCCACTTACAAATAAATCATAATTATTGTTTGAATCATATTTGTAGAGTGATTGAGTACATCTGATATGAAATAACTTTATGTATCTTATAAATGATACGTATGCAAGCGGTTATATTGCACGACTTTGCACATGTATTTGTTTCCCCAATAATATTTTGATTCATGTTTTCAGTTGACACTATAGTCTTATTTCAAAACGTTGTGAAAGATACACTGCAGCTGGGAACACTTCACAAAGTTGATCAATTACCCATATTTGTTTTTACAACATAAAACAAACAGGAACGTTAACAGGAAACGTGCTCCTTGTGCGCGAGCCGTGTGAAATCGATTAAAGGTTAACCAAAATCGTCGATGTGGTTTTAATGTCTGTCTTGTTAGTCTGAAACATGGCTTCGCTTTAATGATGAATTAATACTACCCTCTAAACACAAGGTAATATGTCTGTATAACGATATCGTGACAATTCAGTTTAGGATATCTAATATCTTACACACTACCAACTCTACAGCGCGTCATCAATCGTGATAGTTTAATACTCCAACGGACTATTTATAAAACACTTGCGTGCTATTTATAACATCCATCGT